AGCACTGAAACCACCGCCCGCAGCCCAGAGGTGCCTTCGCATCAGTTTCCACTTGCTCTTATCCCCTCGACGCCCGAAGATGCCCCTTTCTTCCAAGCTCAGCTATGATTATGTTTTTTTTCTTGTAATAGTTTATTCAGTAGTCTCCCTGTCCTTGGTCTGGTTGAGGTGATCCCTAGAGTTGCATGGAAGAGACCCAAGGGTGATCGTTTTTAGATATATATTTTTTAAAGATTTTATTTATTTATCTTTAGAGGGGAAGGGAAGGAGAGAGGGAGAGAAACATCAATGTATGGTTGCCTTTCATGCATCCCCTGCTGGGAACCGGCCTGCAGGGAACCGGCCTGCAACCCAGGCACGTGCCCTGACTGGGAATCGAACCGCGATCGTGTGGTTCGCAGGCCCACGCTCAATCCACTGAGCTACACCAGCCAGGGCTAGATAGTTTTAAAGACTATTTGTATTGACTATAAAAATGGCTGTCACCGTAGTGCTGCATGTAGCATAATTCCTTTAAATACAAGAACTGCATGTAATATGAAATATTAAATTAGTAGATTTAAAGAAAGAAATACTGTTTTCAAAGGGGAAAAGGGGCATTTAAATGTGACCAAGAAGTGCTTCCTTTCCTCTCCTTGGGTTGCGCAGCATCCTTTTTGGTTTTAGAACTGAGGAGCAAAGCACTGATGGGGAGGAGTGAGGTCTCCGGCTCTGGTTCTCCAGCCGTGTTCCGCAGAGCTCAGAGTTCACAGGGGTCCTCTGGGCTGAGGGGGCTGACGTCGGAGAGCAAGAAAGCACACCTTTCAGCTCCCTCGGCCACCCCCATTTCGGCAGTTTGAGACTCCCTGGCTCTGCCTTCAGACTGCTTGGGTTTGGTCACATTCCCCTTCCCCATCCCAACAAGCTAAAAAGGCAAGTGGCTTAGTATGTCTTCGCCTCAGGTTCTGCAATGAAGAAATGAAGGTAAGAATGGACCTGCCTTAGAGAATTATTGAGAAGACCTCTGAGCAGAAACAGAGCCTCTTAGACATTGAGAAAACCTGGACAACATTTTTTTTCAATTTGTCCTACATGAAAAGATAAACAATACCACAAATTATGGTATATTTGAAAATTTTTTCTTTGACAAAGTAATGGCTTTGCCACACTTACAAGAAAGGCACCGGGATAGCCACTTGTCCCCTCACTCTTTACTTGTGACCCCTGGGTTCGACACTCGTCCTGGGAGTGTGCTGGCCTGTACCTGTGTATCCCTGGGTCAGGATGCGGGATGTGGCATGGCCGGGTGCCTTTTGGAAGAGCTTCTGCATCCTTTGAACATTGGGTCTCTACCTGCCAACCACTGAGATGAACCAGTAATCCTTTTGGAAAGCACAGGCTTTTATCAGGGAGGATTCAAGGCTCTTTTTTTTCTTCCTTCCCTCCAAAGAACACTCCCACTGTTCAGACTTAAATACCAAAACCTTATGGTTTGCAGAATCAGTGCCAAAAAGTCAATCATCAGTGAAACTGCAAAGATAATAGCTCCTATTGATCAAATCGGGAGAAGAATGGTTTGCCCTCCCACACAGGTCAGGAAAGATAAGAGCTGGAGTTTTCTAAAACATGCTCAATTTGCCTAAATTGGATCAAACCGCACAAAACACTTATGTTCTTAGAGAACTGGTGACCAGTTCAGGAAAACCTCACAAAATGAAAAGATTGGCTCGGATTAGTAAGGCATGCGAAATAGAATCTTTCTAAAAGCATGGCCTGTGCATTGTGTCAAACCCAGACGATGACAGAGTCGCAAACAGGAACACGGCCATGTGGAGGGTGGCTGCTGTCCCCGAGCTGGACAGAGGAAACAGCACGAAAGGCCTTTGAGCGTCCACGGTCCACGCTCCACCGGGCGCTTGTCTGATTTAATCCTACTGCCTTCAGGGATGGTCCAACCTTTTGGTGTCTGTGAGCCACACAGGAGGAAGAAGAGTTGTCCTGGGCTACACATTAAATACATTGCAACACATAATCGCCCCCCAAAAAATCTCATAATGTTTTGAGTAAATTTACGATTTTGTGTTGGGCCGCCTTTGCAGCCGCCCTGGGCTGCATGCGGCCCGTGAGGCGCAGGTCGGACACCTCTGAGCCTTCCTAATTCAGTCCTGGGAGATGGCTTTCTTGTCTTCATCTTAGAGAAAGTAACTTTCTCATGATCACAGAATTGGTAAATGGCAGAAATCAGCGTTTTAATCCAGGTGTCTATTTCCATTAAATATTGCACTGTGTCCTAACTGAACACATACTAATTGGCTGTTATCACAATAACCTTGCACAAAGAATGCTGCTAGTCATATTCAGTATCTCATGTTTTGCCGTGGTGAGGAGAGTAGGAGAGGAGCTGAATCCACCAGGGGAAATCCTACAGGGTCAAGACTGGTAGTCACGTCTCCCTCGCACGCTGCTGTTGGCCCTGGAATGGATGGAGGTCAGGCTGAGAGGTGCTCAGTTTTTCTTGCTAAGTTCAGCCTTCCTTGGGGCGCTGGGAAGCTTCATAAACATTACTAATACTAAACTTTTCACATAAAATAATCAGCCTTTTAAAACATGTGGCATCAAGATAATATTTTTCAGAGAGAGATTATTCGTATCTTAACATCTTTGATCTGTCTTTATTATCATTTTATTTGAGAAGCTGAACGTGATTATTGAAAGGAATGAATCTGAGGCTGTGAGTGAAATTCCTTAGAATCATCACAGCCCCTTAATGAGCTTGTGAATTGAAATTATCTTTGCTGTGGCCCAAGAACCCGAGTGGTGATTATGGTCCAGGCACACCTGGGGACAGTTTCACTGTTAGCAGTGCCAGGACTTTGTTCATTTGTCATCAGTCCTAAATTACGTTCAATCAGCAATTCAAACTCAGGTTAGAAAAACCAAGTGACACACAACTAACTTTCTATAAAATCAGTACTGTAAAATGAAACCTATGTTGCTGGCAATTTCATCGTGAGCAGCAACAAGGTGAAGCTATGAAAATATTGAATGTAAATGTTGTCAAGATCTATCTTCATCCCCCCACCCTCCTGCCCCTGGCTTCTGCGCCGGCAGGGCCACCAGGGTGGCCAGGGCCCTGTTCCTGGGCCCCCTGATGTTTGGGTGTCGGGGTGCTGCATGAGCCCGTTCTGAGGCGAGCCACCGCAGCCCGCGCCACTGCACCCAAGGGGCTATTATTCGAGAGCCCAAGTGGGTGGTAGCAGGATGGGGGTCAGAGGGGAGCAGCAGTTCTACCCTTTCAGTTGTACTCCCTGAAATGCAGACAATTAGCTCTTCCTGGTGAAGTCATCTGCGTAAGATAGTCATGCTGGGACAAGTGGTTGACGACAGAAGTGCTGCCCTCTACTGTAGTTTTGCACCAAATATTTTTCTTACTGGGTAAATTTTTCTTTCTGGCTTCATAGTTAGGAATTCTATGTGCTTAGGATCCCTGTCATACTGCCCGTTTGATTTCAAGTTTCCTTGAAAGAATCTAGGCTTTTTTTTTTTTGGTCCAGGATGTAGGAGGTGACTGGGGCCACTGGAGAGGGAGTGGGTATGTGTGGTTTGTCTGCTTTCTTTCCCACCTAGACAGGGAAAGAGGCAAGCCAAGGAAGTATGTACAAACCAAATACCCCTTTTGTCTCCGCCGTGAGTGGCAGGTTGATCGAAGACCCAGTAGGCAAACTACAAGTGGGCCTCTGCAAGGTCTCAGTGGGTAAACATCCTGTCCTTGGCAGAGCTCGCTGACCATGGTGTGTGGCTTCTGTGGCCAGGTGGCAGACAGTCTCCATCAGTAAATAAGGAAATGTGGAAAGTGTGCTTATCTAGGTGACAAGGTGGCATGAGAGAGAGGTAAGGTGAGACAACTCAGCTTTCACAGACTCGAGTACTAGGCAGCATGGGCTGCTGGGAGTTGTGTGGGTGGCAGTGACACATACCCGGATTAGAATCCCAGTACTTCCACTTACTGAAGTTCACCTTGTGTTCCAACTTAGGGCCATTTTTAGTGGCTGCCTAGAGTACTGTGTTGAGCAGGCTGTAAGGCAGATCCAAGGTTTACTAGACACAAAGGGTCGCAATTGAGGGATGATGTGTGCACCAGACTGAAGGAAGGAGCACTTACAGCATGGGCACGTGCTTCGAGTGCCCCAGGCCCTGAGCTCTCTGAGGTCCTGCACAGCACTGCAGCTTTGTGAAATGTGTGTGTGTGTGTGTGTAGATACCACCTAATGGGAGATCAGTTCGATCCTATGAAAATGTGCTAGTAGGATGGTGTCATGGCTTAAATTTTCAAAGACAACAAAATTATCATTTGTATTATTACAGTATATGAGTGAAAGTTTTAAAATCTTAGTAGTATATTATAGCCTTTGGATTGTTGATTCGCATGTTGGCTTTAATTTATGGTGATTTTGAAAATGATCTTTTAAGTTCAGTGAACCACAGATGATTCTCCATATTCAAATACTTAGCTTTCATTTGTCTTAACTAAAAGTTTCAGTATAGAGAAGTGGGCTTCTCTATGGATACAAATGCTATCAACTGACAAACACCAAGGAAATCAGCAGAAAAAAAGAAACACTGTTTTTACTTATTTTTCGTGGGAAGACTGTTGAATATATTTCTCTGAGACTGGTCTTCTGACAAGAAATGGAAGAGTTTATGTTTGATGATGGTTAGTCCTTTCTGCAGGTTTGATTTTTCATTAATGAAATATTTGTGTTTTTCTTTTCAAGCCTGTGTTTCATAGAAAAAAAAGTTCAGCTCTGGCCCGCAGATCGCTCGTCTGGCGAGCCTCTGTGATGCAGGCACCTCTGCCTGGCCAGGAGAGCGACTGCTCCGGTTTACTAAGCCATGAATGGCAGTGGTCTCTCTCAGAAGGCAGGGCCTTTGGAAATCTCCTGTAATGCTTCTAACAGCCCATAAGTTACTGTGGTTAATGTTGCCCTTGTCTTTCTCCCCTCCCTTCTTTCTCTTTTCAGAAACAGAGCTGTCAGTCACTGCTGAGTTAGTGCCTACCTCATCATGGAACATTTCAAGTGAGCTCGACAAAGGTATACAGTGGAGACACACTGGGGAAGGGGAGGAGGGGTGGAGGCGTGAAACTCCATTTTGAACCCTGGCACAGCCCGCTTTGAAATCAACTGCGTTTTAGATCACTAGGAGGAGGCAGGGGCCAAAGTAAATTCCCTGCTTACTTTGTGACCATTTAACATTTAATGACTTGGAATTCCCTTATTTCTGGAGAGGTTTTCTCCCTTTCTTCTCTCTCTCTCTTTCTCTTTCCTTTTCCTTCTTCCTCTAAAATGTTCCACATGGTGAAAATGCTTCAAGATGTGAAATAAGGTTGTTTCTGACCTTCCTGACACTGCATCTAGTGGATCTTATTTAGGGGATTTGATTCTGCCTGAGCTCAGATTGATCAGAGCTGTTTGCCTGGTGACCTTTTACGGTGAGTATTTGATATACTTGCAGGGTTCAGAGAAGAGCATTTGGAATGTTTGTAATTGCCTGTGCATACAGATGGCGGCTTCCTCTCTGCACGTGGAAAGCAGGTTCCTACCAGGAGATCGTTGTAGTATTAATTAAGCCTCGCCATATGCTAAGCACTGACTACTCTACAGAGACCCTATGTCCTCCTGGATTGATAAATCTGGACACATTTAAAGCCCCTGCAACTGGCTCATATTACCTTTCCAGCTTCATTTCTCTTTTGTTCCCTTTATGCCCATTTATGCATTTCCAGCCAAATTTGTATTTCTTTCTCTATATCCTGTACTTTTTATGCCCCTCTGCTTTTGTCTAAGCCATTCTTTCCAACTGAACTGCCCTTTCTTCCTTGCCAATACCCATTCTCTCCCTTCTACAGGGTGGCAGGCAAATTACTTCTCCTTCGGGGTTGAGCATAAGGTCTGTATTAGCCGTAGCCTTACCTAATCCCTGAGCAGGAAGTGGCCTGTCCTGTGGAACTCCCATAGCCCTCTTCTCTGTTCCTCTCTTTGCACTTTCTTTGTTACATCGTGGTGATCTACACACGTAGACAGCTTGCCCTTAAACCTGGAAATTTCTTGTAGGTAAGACATCTATCTTGTTCTCTTTTTTTGGTCTGTTTTCTCCATCACAGAATCCCACATAGACTGCTGTTCATAGGAAATCCTCAATAAATACATGTGTAATGATGAGTCACGCCTGGGACACAGAGAAGGACGGGCCGCATCCACATATATGTGTGCAAATACATCCAACAAACTTACTGAGTTTCTACTTTAGTTCAGGCATCCCTCTAGGTCCTGGGATTATAACAGTAAAAGGAGCTCAAAGGCATTGTCAAAAATTGCCTTTTAGGATCAGCTCTCTTATATCCATTCATACATTCAGTCGGAGTTGTGTTTGCTCTCCGAGGTGAGAGAACTTTACAAAATAGTAATATGGGCAAAGTTGTGTTGCTGGTATACTTTTTAGATATTTCAGGAAGGTGAGATGTCTTTTTACCCTAAATCAAAGGACATTTAGGATAAGTTATTTTTAAATTTGACCTGGACACTCTTTTTCTAATTAAGGACTTAAAAAGGGACTTTATGGTATTCTTCTCCATCTCCAGCACCATGCCCAGGAGGCAGTAGATTTTTAATAAATATTTATATACTGTTTTTAATGGAAAAGATGAAATGAAACACGCGACATGGTAACTCAGTGCCTACTCTGAGTGCACCATGTGCTATGCCAGGTGCTCTCAAGAACGTGGACCTAATTGGCCAGCTCCTTATGACATCATTGCATTCTGTGTGTTATTGATCAGGCTCTAGTTATGGCTATAAAAGGACATCAGTAGGTGCTGAAAGCAGCAGAGCCACCAGTGAAGAACCTTGCCTGCCAGACTTCATATTTCTGTTAGACCAGCTCTGTAATTAGCAGTGGTTGCCCTTCAAGAAAGAAGCAGCATCAGTAGTAATTAACCTACTGGACAAAGGGCTGAACTAAGGCAGGCATTTTTCTTTGGTCAGCATGGCCTTCCAGAGAGCATGGGTGAGTTTCCAGGGACTCCTGGTATGTTCTTTCTCTAGAAGATAATTAGTGTATGGTATTTAATCACCACTTAGAATAAAAAAGAAAGCTGATTAATTCATTCGTTGATCCAATCTTTATTGCTTTCTATTCTGGTCAGGGCACTGTCTGAAGAATTAGTATCAAAAGATGAACCAGATAAAGGTCTCTGTCCTCCATGAGGGAAAGACTGATATCTAAACGTTTAATAATAATTTTCTGGTAAATTTGATAGACTAGATTGTCAAAGGACATTCCCTCCAATCACAGAGAGATGCTGGTGTGAAAATACAGTGGGGGAAAAAATCCATCGCCAGACTGGTATGCAAAAAGAAGAACTCCCCAGGTGCCAGAAACAAAGAGCCAGCTTAATAATGGGGCAGTGACAGTGAGAAGGAATTAAACAAAAGGTCCTCTGAAAATAATGGGAAGTATGTATGGTTCTTAGGGGCTGGAGTTTCAGTACCCGATGGGGATGAGAGCTGAGGCCATAGCAAACAAACTCCCTGCATAGCTAACTGACAGTGAGGAATAACTAGCCTGAGCATGAAATAAGGAAGATTCTGCTGAGGTTCTGGTGTGAAAGTCTATCAACCACCCTGAGTCATTGGGCTCACCCATGAGAAATCCAAACCAAATCTATACTAAACCATGTATATGGGGTTGGGGTTCTCTCCATGTAGTGTACAAGTCACAAACCAAGAAGGTAATGTAAAAACTTGGTCTGTGATTAATTAAACTATGAGATACTACAGCAGACAACCTAAAAGCAGGACATAAAAATGTCTCAACATCCCAGTGCATGTGGGTCTCCCACCAAAAACAAAATTTAAAAAATCAAAGCCAGAAAGCAACAACAGCAAACTCCTGCTTATGCTAAGTTTACTTTGAAATATCGTAGTACATGCAATGGAAGAAAAATGCCACCATTAATGAGAGTCAGGAGAGAAAACACATGGAGAAGTTCTTATCTTAGAAACTAAAGACAATAGACAAATTTGAGAGAGTGGGTATGCTAGAAAATGTTTCATGGTGGAAAAGAATATAGAAACCACAGGGCAAGTACAGGATAATATGAAAAAGTGGACATTTTAAAAGAACAAAATAGAAATTCCAGAATTAAAAAGAATTATAGAAATTAAAAATTCATCAAATGTGTTAAACAGCAGATGCATTGAACTGAAGAGAGAAATGGCGAAGTGGAAGATAGATCTGAAATATATGGTGGTTCTGGGGCCAAGGTGACTAAGTCTGCATCCTGCCTTTACTGCCTGCATACTGTGTGACTTTGGGTAAGCCACTCAGCCTATCTGTGCTTTGGTCTTCTCACATGTAAGATGAAATAATAGAAGTAACTACTTCATATGGTGATTGTGAAAATTGAGCTGGCTAGCAAATCTGATAAAGTAATTGGAGAATAAGAGGTAATAGCTGTTTTTGCTTAATATGGTTATTACTTGGGCTTAATAATAAAAAATCATAAGTACTTTGGCAGGCTTGTAAGGAAAGCATATTATAGACTTGGAGTAGGAATTTCAGGTCCTGTTAAATCTGCCTGTGTCAGCATCTGCCCACTCTGGCCTCACATACGTGAGTGTTCACCCACACAAGTACCATACTTTTTAGCAAGATTTCTTATTAACAAGATTTCCCATGGTCTTATATCCGTTGACTCCTCTCAGCTCACCCCTACACCCCATGCTTTCTATTCCACAACCTGCTTCTTTATGTCCTAAATATATCCTTAGGGATATGCCTTTCTTCATGCAGTTTCTTCTGACTGGATAGCTTTAACCCTGTTCTACACTTGGCTAACTCTTTCTTTACTTAAGCATTACCTCAAATATTTACCCACCTCCTTTCCCCCACAGTGCTGAATCAAATAGGCAGTATTCCTGTTTTGTTGGACCTTACATTCTAGAGTAGAGACAGTCAGTCAATAAATTCTCCCATGAACCTCATGACCATGCTGTCAATAAAGCCCCTAAATATTTCATATGTGGGGCACCATATCACTTTATATCTGTTTTTTTTCACTTTATATCTGTCTTGATTTGAATGTTTGCCACTCTATTAAAATGATCTCTTTTGTACATGCTTCTGTAAGGTCAGTCTCTCCCATCTATTGGCGTGCTCTTCTTGCACCATGTATTGTGTATAATGGAAAATATGATGTTAAATTTATGGGTTCAAATACCATCTGTGCCAGTTCATCGCTACTGCGTGTGAATACCTACCAGGTGTAATGCACTTTCTAAGCATGTTGCATGTATCATTTGAGTCCACACCACCCTGGGCAGTGGAACAAATAGGCAACTGAGGGTCCTGCCATCCAAGGACAAGGCTGCGGGGCGCAGTTTGCGAGTGGCAGTGCCACAGTTCCCACCAAGGCCTCCGGCCACCTCCAGCGTAGCAGCTGACTGTCCTGACTCCCTGGGATTTTTATGCCCTCCTCCCATGGGGCAATTTCTCTCTCATCGAGAAGCAGTTGAAATAAAATCTATCACAGGACATTCTTTAATACCTTTCTCTTCACTTGGCTACTCCGTTGGCCCCATCAGTCCTACCCTGGCTCCCCAGCCTCACTCAGGTCCTGGCGTTCTCTTAACCCAGTCCAGTCAGTGGCACCGAACGGTTACCTTTCCAACAGGAAATGAAATTTAAAAGAGACAAGACCACCAGCGAAGAGCCGTTGAAAGCTGCTATTGATGGGGCACGGGGCTAATTTCTGAAACAAATGCTTCAGAACCGAGTGTTTCCTAAAGTAAATGGATCTACAGGGGCCCAACCTCGGCTCCCCAAGGGGCATTTTGGGGTGGGGTGTGATGAGGGCCTCTTTCCCCTTCTTGGATTTTCAGTTGCATGAAGTCTCAGAGGTTCTCTATAGAAAGCCAAATATTTCTTTTGGAGAAAGGGCTGGAAATTGTACCCCTAGGTAGCAGAAAGGGAGTGAGCCTGCTATTTAAAAAAAAAAAATACTGAGGTCTGCTTCCAAATGCAAACTGTTCTC